AAAATTTAAACACAAACCATATTTATGTTCACTTAAAATTATAGGAAGAAAACAACATGTGATCTCATTACTAGCTTTAAAAGTTTCTCTTCCCCCGTATGACTGAACTGACAGCCTGCTACACCTCTGGAATAATTTGCTGAAGATTTCTCGGCAAACCTACATACCTGAAGCCCAGCTTCAAAATCACAAATTTCAGCTGTTGATAACATGCAAGATCATGTGCTTCTTTTTACAGATCTCTAAACAGAACAGGGTCTTCAGCAAGCAGTTGCTTATTAAAGACAGGTGAAGTTTTAACTGTACTGTCTTCAGTGCTAAACATGTTTTTGCGTAGGGGGTCATCCGTATTGTATGTATTTACCAGTATAAGAAAAACTTGAGATACAAGTGAGGGGGAGAAAAAGGCATATTTTCTCTCTCATATATACAAAAAATAGGCATTTTTACTACCAGAAGCAGTGAAATATTTTCCTTTAACAAAGGAAACATTCCCTTTGCTGCGGAGCACTTTTCCTAATTGCCTGTACTATGGGAAGAGTAATAAACACCACATCAATGTAATAACATATATTTCCATTCCAGTCATCCCTGCATAGTTGAGACATTTAAAGTGGATGCAGGATTTATGAAAATGATTAACTTTTGCTGAACACACCAAAATATTTGTACTAGCTGCCCAGCATATTGCTTAAACACTTGAGTGCCTCTAAGTGGGAGACATCATCAACACAATTATTCAGCAGCCAAGAAAACAAGTTTGTTAATTTAAGTACTTCTGTGTGAATTCATGTAGCCTGTCTTCATGGGTAAAGTATGTCCCTTGATTACTGCTCAGGAACATCCACAGTTGCACATAGTTCTTGGAAAAAATCCATACTGAAAACACTTTACAAAAATAAATAGACAGAGAACTGCAAGTAATAAGGAGGTCATACATCCTGAGACTGTTGTGAAGCACAGCATGATGCTCCTGTATACAACAAACCTATCTTGCCCTTGGATGAACTTCAGGAACTATTTCATAATGTCAAAGAGTGGATAATTTCACAGGAAAGTGATAATGAGAAGACAGGACCTGCACCTGGATCTTCCAAGAAAACCTGAAAATTAACCCCCTTTCACCTCTAGTTTTTTTGGGCAAACACATGAGCCTTTAAAAGTTATTCATTGGTCTAGAAGCTGCTGTTCCAGTGTCACCTGTAACACAGATGTTTCCAACTTTTCTCTTTGCCAGTAATGCCTAGCAAAAGCAATACTGTGATGTCTATGAAGAGTCAGAGAGCAAGATTAATCAGTGGCCTTTTGGGCTATGTTCTATTGAATAGAGACAGCAGCTAGAACAGAGTCTGTTTCCACAGCAAGATGCTCTTCCTCCACTTGTCTCCTCAAATCCATCAATACTACCTTAAGGGATCATAGACAAACACACAAAGGTGTGTACTAGCAGCCTAAGTCTCTTATGAGGATACTCCTGTCATGGAAGTGAAAGGCTTTGTCAGTCCCTTCATCCACCAAATAAGATACTCAAACGCTAAACAGATTGGACATTGTGCAAGTTTTGTGCTGCCCATCAACAGTTCCAGAGTAAACTACCCGAAAGGCAAATGTTGCTGCCATTTTTCCATTTGTGACAACAAGAACTCCTTCACCCATGAGTTAGCTTACTGCACCTTTCTTCTGTCCTTGCTGGCTGCACAAAGAATCTGAGGACAAAGCAGTACACATATGCTGAACTTTTTTTTAAATTTTTTTATTTTAAGGGTCGAAGTAGCCAAAACGTGTTCAAACCTTGCCACTTGATACCATCTCTTAGCTCTGCTCAAATCTGTTAAGAGGTTATTTTATTTTCACCTAGCTGTTTTCAATGCCTTCCTTAGCCCAGCATAACAAATGTATTTATAGAAAGATGTGTGGATACATAATTCCCTCTGTTATTCACACATTGAACTCTTCTCCCAGGTTGCAAAGGGTATATATAACTTCATTCATTTGCTAGTTTCTATATGATTTTGCAGTTGCATCTAATTTTGCTGTGAGGTGAGTCACTATCACTGTTTTTTCTTGCAAACACAGTTTCTGATACGCAATGATTTCCAGTACTCAGAACCAAGCTCACCATTCTCCAGCGTGCATTGTTGATCAAATGCACCCAGACTTGGGTGGACGAACGATAGGTGAGCAACAATTCTGGTGACAATTAACTTCTGTAACCTAGTCTCATTACTAAAGATAGCTAGGATCCTCCTGTTCATTTTCTCCATTGCAGCTCCACTGCAGCACTTTGCATTCTTGCATCTTATTACTCTTAACCAGCACTTAATGAGCACTTCATGTTTCATTTTCAAACTCAGGGTCCCTCAAATAATACCAAATTCCACCTTTGTAAAAAATATCATTATCTTGCTGTCTTCACCTCATAGCATTCAAAAATTGTTTCTATTTTTGACCTGTAACTCCAGCCTGTCTGATACTGCAGCTGTGATATCCTACCAACACTTAATTCTATGGTTTCAAATAGTAAAAATGGCAAAACTGACCTTCTGTACTTAGAGGTGATCATTGACACTTGAGTCATTATGCGTTTCTACAGACTCCAACTTAGGCTTCAAACCTCAAATATGCATGTATTGTAAATTGCACAGCATTCACCAGCACTACCCACCAAGGAAGAGATGAGCACTGGAACTAGCCTGAAACTGAGTCATTACATTTTCACTGGAATCATCACCTAAATTTTTAAGCACCCAACAATGCATTTATTTTTGGTAGCTATGCTGGAAAATGAAGGAAGAAAAGCAGGAGGATGACTGGAAAACAAAGGTGCAGGAGATAGCAAAATCTTCAAGAAAGAAGAGAGCAACTTACTTAAAAGTTCTGGTCTTTTTAAATCCTTAAATATTTAAAAATTCTTATTCTCAATATAGCAATTTAGGTATAAGCAATTATTTAAAATTTGCTTATTAACAAAGTCTGAAAATTAGCATATTTCAGTAAAACAATCTGCATACGATCATGCCTATAGCTTAACTTCTCCCACGTAGTTCTTTTATCCATGAAAAAGTCAAGAAATTTATTACTGCAAATGCTTATTACTGTTTGATAGCAATTCTTTGTGTGTAGCTTGACCGTGGAAATCTAAGGATGGACCAAAATTAGACTTATAGTCTTTCACCAAAAAAATATTCTGAATAGTCATAAATAGGAATTTTGTTACTACTGAGTATTCCATAATATCAGCTACTTTAAAGGCCACTTAAATACTCCCAGATTTTAAACCTAAAGGCTGCATACAAAGGTAAGGGGTATCATAGTCTGTTTAGATTCTGTAACTGAAGTTTACATTCACCATTGACACTAAGGCAAAACTTTACTCAGTACAAACATGATAAACACAACTGAAGCTAGCTTATTAGGAAAATATTATTCTGGACAAAGTTAAAACAAAAAAGTTAATATTTAATCTTTCAGCAATTAACTGTACAGAACAGCCATTTCATTATCTTGTTATATGAAAGAACAGAGGAAGTCCAAACCAGTGAAAAATGATGACAGAAGGCAAAATCACCTCTCAGATTATCATGAAGTGCTGGTGTTACTTCACCTTTTTTATCCTCTCCCTTTAACATCTGTCTAACATGCACTTCTTGTAATGCACAGAGTTTAAATTATTTCTCTTTCATTACCCCCAACACCTACTGTGACATTCTTTGGTAATCACCAAAGGGCTTATTCCAAAAGAAACCCAATGTTGAATAGTGCAAATTATTGCCACTTCCTGTTTTGAGTTATAATCATAGAACTACAGAATGACACAACAGCCCAGGTTGGAAGGGACCCCGAAAGACTGTCTGGTCCAACCTTTTGTGGGAAAGGGAGCCTAGATGAGATTACCCAGCACCCTTGCTGGGTTGCATCTTGAAAACCTCCAGCGATGGGGACTCCGCATCCCTGGGGAGGTTGTTTTAAAGTGACTGACTGTTCTTCTCACTGTAAAAAATTTATGTGAAGATGAAACCTTTCCTGGTGCCAACTTACACCTATTGCCCCTTCTCTTCTCCATGCGGCTCCTTGTACAGGGAGAGCCTCCGCCCTCTTTGCAGATGCCCTTTAAGTACTGGAAAACTGTGATGAGGTCCCCCTTCTCCAGGAAGAAGAGACCTGAATCCTTCAATTTTTCCTCACCGGGCAAGTTCTCCAGCCCTTTGGTCATCTTCGTGGCCCTCCTTTGGACCTTGTCCAGTCTGTCCTTGCCTTTCTTGAATTGTGGGCACCAGAACTGGACACAGTACTCCAAGCACAGTCTGACAAGTACTTAGTAGAGTAGGATGATCACATCTCTATCTGTTAGTAATGCCCCAAAATGTTCTCATTTTTGGCCTGCATCAAATATAAGTTAACCAGTGGATTATACATTTCCTGTTCTACTTAAGTTTTTCCTCTGACTCCAATACTTCCTGGTTTTTGCCAGCCCTGGATCCCCTGTTGGAAAATCCAGCTCAGTTATCCAAAGAGCATGCAAAGTCAGGTGGTAACGCCTTTAATAGCAGGGGTAAATAGAGAAATCTTATCCATATAACATGGTAGGCAAAATTGCAGTATTTTCTTCTGTAAAGGTCTTTCAAAGCTGGGGCATTTTTCATCTGGACTCAAGAGTTTGTTGATACACCAGAAATTCTACACTGAGTCACAGCAAAACCATATCTGGCCCAGGGTCTAGTTTTTCAACAGCGGTTTTGCATAAGCATCTGCTACCTAAGCACCAGAAACTGGTCATGTAGAGAACTGTCCTTCCCTGATATACTTCCAGCTATCCGCAGTTCAGCTGATTTACTAGTTTATGTGACTTCTATTATGCACATTTTGCAATGACCTAGCACACACTGCCCAGGAAACTAATATCTGAAAAAATCCATCAACAGCAAGACAGAGTAAGTCCATTATCTTATTAGCATGAAAACTGCCAAAGAACACAAAAACACAAGAAATGTTATCCAGACACTTCCTTTTATTAGGACACTGAAACAGCTTAATGTACAAATGCTTTGCATTAGTTGTAAATATTTCCTCTGTTCAAGCAGCATGTACAGCTCATGTACATTTCTTGAGTCATCTTAAGATGCAAGACACTTTTGTGGTAGCAACTTCATACATCAGTAAATGCCAACACTCCACAACCCTGTTTAAAATAATAAAGTCCAGATGGAGTGACAGGAAGGAGACAGTACACCATTCTGTGCAGTGACTGGGATCGTATTTCAAAAATGGAAAAAAAAAAAGTTATTCAGCCATACCTCTCTTTCTAATACTCTCCTTATGCATTTTACCTCCTATCCAAAAATGATTTCTATAATAAACAGAAAGGGCATCTATAGGTTTTCTTATAAAAACAATGAACCTACACAAATAACGATCAATTATTTTTAAATATTCAAGGAAAATAGATATCTCTGCTAAAAAAAAAGAAAAAAAAATATTATGGGAGCATGTCTCTTCAAGCCAAAATACCTTTGAAGTATAAATTTGTTCTAGTCCACCTCAGTCCCCACATATTGCAAGCAATTGCTTTCATCAGGACAATTTCAATCAATGGCCACCTTATTATAGTTAAAAATGCATTCCTTCTCAACTACTAGATACTAATCTTCAATAAAAAAAATAATTAACTACACTTACTTTTGATCACTATTTATTAACCTAATGCTTCCACTTAGCCGAAACTCTGTTCCAAATACTTGGCAGGGCAAAATACATAAATTAGTTGAATTAAAATTAAGAATCCAGATACTTACTTTCAATAGAAACTTCCAAGTTCAGGTTAAGACCCTGACATGTTTGATTCACTTCACATCATCCTGCTGAACAGCTTTCCATTTATTTACTAAGACCCCAGCCTCACTCCCACATCTGAAGAAATGGATTAAAAAGTCCCACTTCATCCAAACATAACCACGAAGCAACTAAAACAGGCATGTTCATATATTTATCAGCCTAGACCACTGAGAACTTAAGCACCTTTACAAGCTTCTGATTTTTTAATGTCAGAACTTTAACCAGAAACACCTGCTGCCTCCCTACCCCCAACCAACTTTCTTCCCCAGAGCCATCCTTCCCTTCAACTTCTTGCCACGTGAGAGACATTTATCAAAAAAGCCAAAATGAAGAGGGCCAGACATGCTTAAACTGACCAGGGATATCTCTCTCCGCCAGGTACATCTCATAAGCATCTTAATTTCTCACATAGATCATGTGTATGACCTGGCAGTAAAACACACACTGTAACAGTACTTCAACTGCTATCAACCATAAGGTGTTCATTTTAGTGTGATCTAAATACTTCTTTTCTATACACCTGTAAACAACAAAAATGGACAAAGACAGTTTTACCAATGTTTGAATGCTGGGTATGTGTTTGCCAAACGAATCAGATGATAGTATCTCTTAGCAACATTCTTGAACTTCTGATTCATCAGAACCACTTAGTCACAGTTTTGAAATTGCCAGAAATTTCACTCTGCTTCCTGCCAATTTAGGTGTTATCACTTCATTTTAAAGCAAAAAGGAAAAACAAAACCAAGAAAACAAACCCATGTATCTAAAGATTGTTGCTAGTTCTCAAAAGTGCAACAAAAAAAATCCCCCCATTTGCAGACAACATAAAATAAAATGCAAGAAGTGAATATAGATTCTGCAATCTAGTATTTCAATGCTAATTGGTGACTTGCTTACCTTCACAGGTTTACCTTGAACTCCAAATCCGTTTCTTATGCTGCACTGGAATCCAAGTACCTCATTTGTGCCCAGCTTATACACAAAGGCTTCCGTTTACTTGAATATTCAAGTTTCAATTATCAAACCAAAAATGGCTCACAAGCTCGAAGTATAGCGATAAGTTTTAATTTCCATTTCTCACAATCTCTGAGGTTCTTGAGAAAGTTGATTGTTCTGCCCTTCAGTTCCAGTCTATAAAACGGGAATCAGCTTCCTTCCCCACATTTTTTCCCTTTTAAATTGTTGGCTTCTCACACGCTTTTACTCATAGTTAATAGAGAAAAACGTAAGTCTTAATGAAATAGGAATACTCTTTCACATTGGGATGAAAGTTTCTCTACATTGCACAGATAATGATTTGACTATTTCAAACAGTCAAGCAACAATCACAAAAGTGCCCCAACACAACTTTAGCTGGTTTATCTGAATACACACAGGTGAGAAGTTTTGAAAGCCAGCACAGAGACAGCCACTATGAACTGAAGTTCATGCTCATCTGATGCAGAACATTCAAAAAACCATAGTTGATCATGCTACAAAATCTAATTATATAAGTAAAAATCGAATCAAACATGATTAACTTTTTATTTAAACAATGATGTTTCTCAAAAATAGTCCTGTAGTCATTGTAGCAGCAACCAAAAAGGCACATAAGTACAAACCAACCCAGAATACAGATCAGACAGAATATAAAATTTTTAAACAGGCATTCTTAAAGCAAAATCCTGAAATACATAGCTATAGTTTCTATTTTATAAAGAGGTACAGCTTACTGTCCTCCTTCCTTACCAGTTTCCTCTGATTGGTGTAATGCATCCATCTATGCTTACTGAAAATCCTGACAGCATAACCTCCAAATATTACTATCCAATTCCATGGAGATTTTATGTGCGTGTATTGAGTTGCGTTTCAGTAGTATTTGTACTATCTAAACTCTTATTAGCTATCTGTGAGTCTTCCCCTCTAAGGTATAGCTGTTTAGAGATAAAACTTAGCACACACCATTTTAGTGCTTCATAGTAGTTTGACTAAGCTACTATTTAGCTGGTGTTTCAAAACCTTGGTTCATTCTTCATGTTGCTTATGACTCATCCTCAAGTCTGGTGCAAAGGGCCCCTGACGGAACATACTATAACGGAATTACACCAGTGTCACGATTCAGAGGTTTCAGTTTCGATGTTTTGAAGTTAATAGTATGAAAAACCTCACCCATAATATCAAACATGCATATAATTACATATGAAATGCAGGAAGCAAACAGTACTTAATATGAATTTACCATTTAGATAATGGAATTCTCTGGCCAGTTATTCTTAAAAACTGGCTTCCAAAAATGGTTAAAGATATGAACAAAAAAGAATTTAAGTTCCTCCTATAATTCAGTAATAAATGACATAATGTAGCACAAAATTATCTCTTAACGTATTATTTTCTCCGTTTTGGTAGTATTAGAAACAGTCTATATTATTTTGTGGAGGGGAGGGAATAATTCCTTGAAATTTATTTGAAGTTCCTACATTCTGAGAATATGCAGAGAAAATTATACATTTTAGATGTTTATGGGGAAAAATGAATGTTCTTATACATTTTAAAAAATGTTTAAGGGTTTGAAGAAATAAATTTAAAACTTTAAGATGTAACTTATGAAAGAGTCCTGTATGCAACAGTGATATCCCATTTTAAGGAATGCTAGTAAATGTTAGAGTTTGAATTGCAAGTATACTCTGTCATTCACCAGTTCCAAAATTCAGCATTCTTCCCCTCACTGCATTTGTACCATTCTGAACAATCTTGTTACTCAGTTAGGTTTCAAAGCCATCAGTGGAAGAACTTGAATATCTGAAGTTACTCTACACTGTAAAACACTTATCCTGATAATCTGGGTAAAGAGGAATCCAAAACAGCAGTCTAATTCAAAACAGACTGTACAGCTTCCTTAAGAAGTGATGCAGCTTTGTCCAGTTCTTGTTCTGTTTGTTCCACTGTTATCACTACTCGAATACTAGAAAAAGAAAACCAGAACCATACACAGTAAACTTTACTCCTTGCCTTCAGCTTCAGACTTTTCTTGTACTGATTTTAACACATTAAGATCATTATCTCTAGGGAAATTTTTATGAATTCAAACTCAACCAGAAACAAGACCTATGGCTAAACAGAAATGGTCAGGCTACTTTCCCCACCCCACCCCTACACATCACAGAAATTTGATTGTTACCTTTTTTACCTGCAGATGTGCAGCTCATGGAAATGTGTCTGGTAACAGGCAACATGCTGATCACTAAGATTCAGATAGTTTTGATACAGTTATTTCAGGGTATTAGCATCCTGTAAGTCACTGAAAATATACCTCAAAATGGAGCCTTTCCCATTTTTTACAGGACCAACTATTCAATCCAGTCTACTGAACACAACCCCATCACTGTATAAAAAGAGATAGAGAGTCATATTCAATAAAATTAAATAATGTATTGACTTTCTACTAACCTGGGTGGAGGAAGACATTTTTCTTCCTTCTCCAGATAGCGGGCCTGAGTTAATGCAATACCACTATCCATGCACTACAAATAAAGAAAATACAGCAGTCGTCAATCTGAGAACTTCTGATTGCATGTCCTTTTGATCACCAAATACACATAACTAACTTCTATGAGTTTGGTGTCAGGATAACTCTAAGTTCTTTCCAGATGGAGGTTTTGACGGTTGTGCAAAATCATCTTTAATTTTAATACAGCATAAACACATAGAACAGGTTAGGGTGTAGCTTCTTTAGCTTTCATCTCCAAGTAATGAGACAAAAATTCTGTATTAAGTAGGCTATTAAATCACATGTAAGCATATTTTCAAGGAAATCAACTTCAGTTTCTTTTTGTTGTGTAGTCCTGTTTAACTGCCACCTGAAATATAAAACTTCCTCATCAACCTTTATCTCCTTCACATGGGAGAAAGAGAACCAATGTGTACTGAAGATGGAAAAAATCCTACGTACAAAACATGAGATTCTTCACACAAAAAAGCAAGTTCATGGACTCAAACAAGCAAAATTACAGAAAGCTAGACCTCAAATGGTTAAAATACACCACGAGAACTCTGTACAAATAATAGCCTTTATTCTTATGAACATCATGACAGTTTCCTAAGCAACAGTTTTATACGCAAATTTAACTTGAGTTTTGAAGTACATAATAGGGAATAATTATTTTCTGAAGTAAAAGGTCCAACATATATTTTTATCCAGTGCAATGGACCTAAACATCTGCAGCAAGAAATGGTTAGAAGATGGTCTTTAATATAGACCTGTAGTCAGCAACGAAACTGAGTTTCTTGCAGCTTTCCTACAAGACATTCCAACAAGTTACCCAACAAGCCTCCCTACCCATATGCACTTCATTCATTATTCACATTCAAAGGCAATGATATATTTTAATTGCTGTGGGGACACTTACATAATCCACAATTCTTTTGAGTAATTTCACATCATCTTCTCGAGATCCACAGCTCTCTTCCAACTGTAGGTGCAATGCTGGAGAGAAAGATTCCCCCACTACTTTTAAGCCAGAAATCCTAAAACAAATGAAAAGCCTTTAATGCACATCCTATTTGAACACACGTGTTAGAAGTTCTAGATCATGTTTCTCCTTTCTACATGGCAAATGAGAAGAGAGGAATATTTCACTTTACTAATCCTAATGCAGACAATTTCAGCTTGCAATAGGTAAATATAACAAAACTTATCAAGTGAATGTTTTTCCTAGGGAGTTTATTAAATGTAGTTTCAGCAAGTTTGTTTAACAATAGTGACTCCTCCTTTTGCAAAAAGCATTAACAATTCGGAAATTTTGAAAGGATCCTTACAAAGATGTAGGAGAAATGTTAATATTAGGCCTGTATGCTGCTGATAAAAAGACAGCTAGTTAAGTCAAGTCTTTAGAGTCTATATTAAGATAATAAATAATAAATCTTTTTACCCACTTATGTGATAAGAAGAAACAAGGTTTATTTTTTTGGCAAGACTTCTGATTTAAAATTATTTCCTGTAGAAAATCTTTACATCATCTGTCACTCAGTCAGAAGCCCCTCTAAAACTAGTTATATTACTAGAATTGCTCCCCTATCTGTACATAGGGACAGTTGTCAATCAGGTGCGTAGAATTTGATTGAATGATTGATATTTGATTGTCATTGTCCTGACACATCATATCATCATATTCAGGACTGAGTTATTTATTCCCCTCCAAAAAAATGTATCCAATACCCAAGCAAGACTTCTGGTCTCAAAAATTAACAGGTCCCATAAACGCATGTCTACCATCAGCTGTAATTTTGATTTCTTGACTTTGATGAGCTTGCCTCACACACAGTGTAAGTTTATACCCTCATTTTCAAATAAGTTTTCTATTTTTACAAAGTTCAAGACCCAGTCAGAGCAGAAGAGATGTGAAATCCATAAACACCAGAACTGAAGCCTACAGGAGAGAGAATTGGCACTATAAACACACTGAATCAATTATAACCTTGAAAAAATAAAATTATACTCTAGCACAGAAAGCATCTTGCATTATTTCTACAATGCTATTTCAATTCACAGTCCATTCCAGAAAGACAAATCAAACTGATATTCTTCTTCAGCCACAAAACTGCAAACATTCTGGTGTCATTCACCTTGCTAACTAACATACACTTGCTAACTAACCAAACACAGGCGATTTCTTTAATACATAAGCACACACACTGCGTTTGTCTCACTACTGCACTCATATCTAGGGATCAGGGATACAACATTTGGTAACATAAAGGACAAGCAGTTCAAAGTCCAGCTACAAGGTAGAAAGACAATACACAGTATAGCTGTATAACATATCTGTTCTTAGTTATGTTTCCTAGGAGTGACCTGACTTCTAAGAAGTAGCGTTCTACAAGTAGGGAGATGGCAGCAGAAGTCAGACGAAGTTGCGCTGTAATTTTTATCTATTTGCTGGAGATCAGAGTTTAAGACAAGCTACTAAAACAATTAGGTCTTGTTTAGAGAGACACAGTATTAGCTTCTAATTATAAAATAGGCATAATTCTTCAACTGAAATAGATAATCATAAACTGCCCCCCTCCAAAGTGTAAATGAGAAAAGATGAGTAGGAAGCAAGCTTTGTATCACTTCCATTCAAGCTGAGTCTTTGCCTGAACAACTTGCTTTATATTTGCTATACACTTACTCACAGAGGCTGCTTACAAGTTTCAAACTTAATTTTAATCTTAAAACTTTTTCTGTCAGTCACAGCTGTAGTAAACTGAATTACATAATTCATCTTACCCAACCATTTGAAGAAACCCAGGAGTTTAACATGAGGTCTTCTGATGGCAATACTTCAACTTTCATGTAAAGTATTAACTATGTTTTTCAGAGCCTCTGCCAAATTAAGATTCAACAAATATTTAAGAATCCAATGCATGCACACTGACTTCCCTGAAATCAGAATTCACTGTCCTAAGAAATGCTGGGAAAGTTTAATTTTCAAACAAAACCATACAACTTCCACACACAAAAGAAGAGAGAAGTCTGAAAGATCTGATTTTGAAGTAACAAAGGAACAAAACTAGCCTCCTGAACTCCAATGCTCCTTTTAAGGCTAGTTCTATATTAGTAAATTAAACATGCCTTGGACTGTTTTCTGGCCCTGTGGTGAATGGGTATGGAATGACTCACATCCATACTTTTAAAATCTGAGTCTCCGCATTGGGGTGGCCACATCCAAACTGACTACTGGGAACAGCTTCTGGCTCACACCAACTCTTGAACTGTATCCAGGAGTCCTTTCAAAAAGCACTGCTTGGTCTGGGCCAACCCCATGCCACAGATCACTTCAACAATTTGACAGACTAGATAATCAAGATCCAGTGCCCAGGAATGCTTCATGACATTAACGTACCAGTATGGATGTAGCCTCTGGGAGCTCTCTCTTCGCAGCTCTCCATGCCCCAGCTACAAGGCTGGGCTACAGAACTGAGTGGCCGGACCAGGCTCTTGGTGGTAGGGAACCCTGTGTAGCTGGGCTGCCCTGAACACCATAAACATTTGCGTCAGTTTTGCTAACAGAAAACTAGAATGAGGTCTCACTGAAAAAATGTCAAGTTTCTCTGGACGGAAAAATCTTTAAAAATAAATCTGCTTTTCCCCAGTGAAAACTTGCTTTATTGGAAAATTCTCAGCCAGGTGTAGGATATGCAGTAAGTAATGAACTACTTAAAGGATACCATCTACTACTGTCATGCTTTTTTAAAAGCCACAAAATTCTGTCCCGTCCATCCTGTTGCCCTGCAACAGAGCTTCTTCATTTCTATTTACTAAGACACTTAGATATTCTTAAATACAAGACAGAAATCTACTTTATCTAAGGTTGTTAGGAAAGTTAAGAATATTCCTGATTTCTGTTAACCATCCCATCACTTACTGCATTTTCTTATGCTTTATAAACTGCCATAGACAATAAGAAAGTAGTTCTATGCAGGATTCAGAAGAATTCTTCCATTTCTTCCACAAACTGGCACTTGGCTTGTACCCAAAACAGGAGTAAACATCAGTCATTCCTCTAGCTTACTATACTACAGTTTCTTCCCTCACTATACTCCTTATAAAGACCAACATTTTTTTAGAACTCTAATCATGCACTGGTCCTTATATATCAAGTCCTGAATTTCATGGGTTAGTTACACTGGCTAAAAGAAAGATTTCCTTTACTTTTAATTTGTTCCTCTCACTGTATTTGTTCTATTATGAGAAAGGAGAAAAGCTGTATATTCTTTCCCACCTTCTTTGTGTACAGTTCTACCACCATTTTACACTCTCTTTTAAACCAACAGTTAGTTCCACTCTATCACAGTGAGAGCACCACGAAGAATTGGAGTCAAGCAGCAGCCATGGTTAGGCAGGGAAAATGAGTGCATTTAACATCACAGGAATTAACAAAATCTTGTTCTGAAAACTTTGCCTCCTCTTTGAACCATCACACACTTTTTCTAGTGTGGTTATCAATTAAAGAAAAACACACTGGACCCTGCAAATATTAGTTCAAATCTTCTCTCTGATACTGCTTTATGCAATTGCTAGGATAGTTTTCCTGCTCCAGGGCTGCCCAATTCCCTGATGTTAGTAAATCTTTCAAGTTCTTTCTCAGTTTGACCTAGAAGAACTATTCCCTTTGCAATTTTTTGGACCTCTATATTACCACACAGTTTTCCATAAGGCAAAAAATACAGAAGTCCTATTACAGACACTACTTGTTGATTTGTGACCACACTAATAACTGAATTTACGTGAAAAATTGCAATCAGTCAGGATAGAAAAGTACCAGCCATGGCTTATTTGCTTCTGTTTTGCAGTAAATATTGACAAGTAAAAGGTTGATAATTTTTCCTTACTTTTTTTTCCCCCTGTATTTTAAACATATTTGTAACGATCACCTAAAAACGATGGGTAGAGAAGAATATTACAATTAATCTCCCTTTAGCTCAATCATAACATTCTATAACTAGCAAACAAGAGATGCTAACAGTTTTCAAGTTACTCTAAAATTTTAATTTCAAGCATAGAAGCATCTGTGTATCTTTGACCTGAAAACCTATGCATTTTAAACCTGTATTGAAACAGAACACAGCCAAAGGAGACAAGGATTATGTGATGGTAGGATTACTCCAAAGAAGTTGAATGTAGCTAAAGTTCTAACATAAAACATCAGGTAAGCAGGAAACTGCTTATTTGAAATAATAAGCAACTCACTGAATAACTAAGTAACTAATACTACAGAAAAATCAGCTGGTATAATCAATCACGCATTATAGATTTTGTGTGTGTTTAAATGTTATTAATTTCTTTAAAATGTAACAGAAAACTGTTGAAGAATATAAATTGTAAAATAACAGCTAACATAACTATTCTGCATATTAAACAGCTGATGAATAATCACAGTAATTTCTGTATTTTTTAGTATCAAAACCTGTCAGGGAAAAAAGCAATTACTCAGTATAGCCATCTTTTAAAACAGGATAGTGTTAGGAAATTTTAAACAGAATCCTGATTTTCCAGATAAATTCCAGCAATTTTCTATGTGACTCTAGAATAACGAATATTTCTTTTACGATTTAACATTCAAATCTCGTATGTAGGAACAATATTGTATTAAACATGATTGCAAGGTACACTGAGTTGCCTGAAAGAGTATCTGCTAAGCTATACACCAAATGCTTTTACTTAGACATTATTTTCAAAATGCTTATCAACACTTTGTACTGCTGAAAGCTACCACACTCTCCTGAAGACTTAAGCGTGTAAGGGCTTGTAAACACCCTCACTAGCATTAAGGTATAATCTCATTCCAATACCTGTAAACAGATTTTAAAAACTTGTACTCTTTTCAGTAGCATAACAGAGACAGTTGGAAAAGGATTACTTTCCTCCTTTAATACAAACATAATTTAGTGTACACATTCTAGTCTAAGTATCTGTAAAACCAGAAACAGATCTGGGCAAGAGAGTTCTTTAAAGTTGGCATTATAAAGGCATGGTCAAATTAACAATAGCAAAAAACCCCCCCCCGAAACACTTACCCCTGTAAAGCTTTGTGGATTCGTTCACATTTAGCCCGAAGAATCTGAAAAATGTCTGCACATGCAAAAACAAAAAAAAAAAAACAGAAAAAGGAAAAGGCTTAGATATCCTGTTTCTACTCCACATTTCTGTATGTCTTAAGATTTCAAAAAAAGCATTTGGAAGGAAAACGAAGATATACATATGTATTGAAGTACTAAGTCTTTTCACTACTCTTCATAATGTTCCCGATTCCCATTTCTGCCAGGAAATGACAGGCTTTTAAGATCTGACAAATGCATTACTTCCCTTTATCTCAGTACTCCAGCTGCATCGGTTCATGATCATACGGAAAGGATGACACAAACACTTGGTAATGGGATTGAAATGACAGGTTGAACATATTGCTATCTATAAAATATCTACAGCCATGCAGACTCTGCTCCTTGATCCTTTCACCAGCTCACTGCAGATTCTTAAACAGGAAACTTTGACTCCTGGATCTGCAAACCTTGGTGGTTCTCCTCAGTAAAGGTTGATCTTCCACTGCAGCCAACAGTCCTGTAACTTACTCTTAATTTTTTCTGGCTTTTTTTTTAAGTTCTGAGGACTAGGCATGGGCTACCCAGTAATTTTTATTTATTTGCGACAAATTAAATACTGTATCTCTCTGCAGATGTCCTCCAATCTGTTGGCACTAATGTAGGTTAAAAACAAATACATACAGATTTGGCCAATTTTATCCTTCTCATGTGTGTCTCACCCCCTCCACCCGCAAAAAAATCTGTCTTAGGTTCTAGCAACAAGGGCAATTCTCTGACTCCTAGAACAGAAACTCCTGCCTGCCAACTTTATCCAAACACTCTGTACTTAGTCCTGCCAAAACTGCAGGTATTTGTACCATGATCATTCCCAAGATTCTTGCCTGGATGCTCTCTTGAAGAAGAAAAAAAATAATTATGTAGTGCAAGTGGAAAGGAAATGGTTATTCCAGCCTGAGGAAACATATTCCATTGTTTCTCTTTAACCTTCCCTTCCTCCATTTGTCTTGAAGGAATTTGTTTTCAAGGAAAAGGCCTATTTCTAGTCTATAAAGCAGAATAATAATTTCTTATTTTCCTAGTGAAAACTATCTCTGTCCCTCCTAGCCTCAACTAACTTGCTCACTTTCAACTGGAAGAAGGAAAGGGGATGAAACACTGAAGAAGAAAAGCAGGATAGGAAATTATATGAAGAGACAATCATGCATGTAAAATTAATTAGCTGAAAAAGAGAGAGGACTTAAAAAAGAGTGAGGAATAAAAGCAGGGAGAAGTATGAGCTACTAGTTTGGAGTGAAGAAAGACTGAAGAATAAGATTTTCCTGAATTAAGTACCTGGATTATCTTCCATAATATTCAGAGCCTCAATAGCAGCAGCAGCTAACAAAGGAGGCAGGGATGCAGAAAAGCAGTAGCCTTGACCAGACAATCGCTGTGAGGGAAAAAGAAAAAAAATTCACTTTTTTGCTTATAGCAGCATAGACAATGTTTTAAAAATTAGTTCACATACATTTAAACAAAACAACCTCTCCTCCACACTTATGAGGTTCATGGAAGGATTTAAAAGTATGTCTCCAATTAATCTACAAAATTTCATAGAACCAGACAGTTTCTGTATAGAATTAAATGTTGCATAATAATTTATATCATAACATTCCTTGCAAATAGATTTTAGTAACTAACTCTCATTTTTAAGTAACTAATCCTGCCACACCATATAAAAATGAGACCTGACTTACCTGATGGTCAATAATAAAAGATCTTCCACAGCAAAATCCTCCAATAGAAGCCAGTGAATTTTCCATGTTTGCACTAATAAGATCTATATCATCAATCTGCCAGTTAAATTAACAAGTTAAGAGATGCTTTTGATTACATCAAGACTATTTATAAGATAAATCTACTAAAGACATATCTTGTTTCATATTATCATGAATACTAGAGAAGATCCACCAAACTATCACATACTAAAACGAAGCTACAATTGAAATAACAATTTTAAGCAATACAAAAGGACTTTAGAAATTGAGATTTATAGATCCATAGATAATATACACAGGATCATTCTTTTCCAGGCAATGTGAAGAATACAAATGGAAAAAACAAATTATATAGATACTGGTGACAATTCCTCAGAGCACTCAGTGTGACAGTGTCCTTTAAGAATGTAATTAGTCCCACTGCAGTCAGTAGGAGTTAGAATGTGATTAAAATTGAGCACAAGCCTAGTTAAAATTGAGTCTGAACCTTAAAGACACAATTGACTTATTTCACTTGTTAGCTGGAAATACATTTTTTGTCTGGCTCTCTAATATACACTGATGACCATTGCTACAAATTCCCATTCTAAGCAGACAAAACTGAAAGATTATGTTTGTAAATTAATTTAACATAGAAGCCAATTAATCAGTTGGTACTTGGCAAGCTTCACAGTAGCTCTGTTTGTTTCCTTTTCTAAAGCTTTTTAACATTCTTTTTCTCTTTTCCACATTTGTAATTAAGACACAGTGAAAACAATAGGAGACAGGGGAAGACAGAATGAATTCTCAGAATCTGATATTTCACTTCCAAGGTGAACTAGACACTGTCAGCATGTAGTGAGGGATGCTCCACACTAAGACACTGGCAACCAAAAGAGCACTTCTTCCTTCCCCAGCTCAGGTGGCTGTGGTAGCAAACAACTGCAAGGATACCATTTTGGATTTCCAAAGTACTCCTCAGCTGAATAAACACCGCAAAAGACTCTTGAAAAGACAGCTTGACTTTATCTGCCAGTAAAGTAGTCAAAGACAATGTCTTTGAATTGACCATCAAATGACCTATTTTTCCCCACTGGAGCAAAAGGCAATAGAGCAAAGTAGGCTGGCTAAACACTGAGATTTTTCTGACTCACTCCTAACCCCCAAGTATTTCTGTAAACATGACACTTAAGTGTTTGTGGCTGGAAAATACTGCAATCATCATCTCACCAAGTGTCCAAAAAAAGGAAAAAATTACACATTGTAAAAATTCTTTTGTTACCTTCCTCACTAAAGATAAATAACATTATTTCAAGTAAGCATGTGAAAGAAAAGTGCCAAGACCTGAACACTTTAAGACTGATAAAGTATGTTTAAATTTCTACTGTACAGTACTGAACATTGTTAATGCCACAGGTATAAGAAATCAATTGTGCATCTGCTTCTGTACAACTCTCTTGTTCACAACAAAGCTCACAAAAAAGGCACTTACATTTATTCCAAAGTGTTCAGTAATTCCTCTCCCATGTTCTCCAAGGACTCCAAAGGAAAGGCTCTCCTCCAAAAATATTCTAACTTTGTATTTATACTTCAACTTTATCTAAACCAGAGCAAATTATATAAAATAAAAGTCAAGCCCATCAGAATTTGGTAACAAGATGGGTGGAGGAGATAAGGTAAAGACAGATAAGTACAGTATCCTGAATACTGCAAAAATGTCAGCTCTAGAGTTGTATTCTGTCATTATGACATTTTAAAAGCCTTCAAAATTCTTCCACCATGTAAAACTAGAGTAAATCTCATAAATGTTCATGTACCAAAAAAAAAATTATTTTTTTTAAAATAGGTTATCAAGTACTTTTAAAATAATGCATTTTCACAGCATTTCTTCTGATATCTACTAGAATATAGCCTGCACAAAAAGCCAACTGATGGTGAATAGCAAGTGTTTTCCTTGGAGTCACTGTTTACAGTGACAGCTGTGTGACAGTTTCTTTAAAGATTCTTTTTTTTTTGTATTCTATATAATTTAGTTTAACAATTTAGTATCATACACCATAGCTGAAAATACAGTATATTTTACAGGTTGAAAACTAAGACCATCATCAGATATTCATTTGCAAGTCTCACTGTGTTTAGCTTCAGAATCCTAATCCTGATCAGAAGTTTCAAAACAAAGTAAGATTTGGGATCACCATTTCATGAACATTTGAGAAAGCAAGAAGCTAAACAAAAAAACAGCATGCAGAGTTTTTCTATGTAGGCTTACCTATATGATACTATTATTTCATTAGCCACATGTTTTCATATGCAGAGTTTAAAAGGCAAACTCAAACCACTTACCAATTCTGGAAGAGGGCAAACATCTCCTGTGTTCATATACAATCCTTCCACTACAATAAACCTTCGAGTTACACGGGCCTTGCGAGGATTCTTCAGAGAAAGATATGGTTTCAGTTCATGTCAACTGTTACTAACAAGCGAAGCTTTGAAGATATTTTGATAGGGAAGGACAGTAATGGGAAGGGAAGGAAGATAATGTCTCTTTTTCAAGTAAGCTTTCACTTTAGTTTAAACTTAGTATTTATCATTTGTAATCAAAGTTGAAATGCCTCATTGGACTAGTTTTTCTTTGTTTTGTAATAATTTTAAAGCTTTTAACTCTTATGCAAGATTTATGTTTTGCAAGAAATCATAACCAATCCATTTGAACTTTATGAATAAACTACAAACAATACAACAGAACAAATACTACAAATCTTGGTCTCTATTATATTAATCATTAGTCTGAGCATTTAGAAGGCTTTTCAACAAGTGGTTTGTGCACTAGGATTCTCAATGTAGCACAAACCTCTCGCAAGTAGTGTCTTCATAAAACACAACCCAAAAGTATTCATAACATTCAAGTTACAATTTCCTTGTCTGATCTCTGGACAATACAGATTGTAAGGATATCCTGCAGTGGTTTCTGTTTAAACTTCAGTGGTATGATTTGAGTTTTCTTGTTTTAAAATGCCATTCCCCTGTTATTTACTTTAAACCTTACTGATACCTTCTGATCAAAGATATTAAGTCATGCTTCTTACCATTTTCAGTTCTTGTAAAAAGATTCGGAGAACAGGTATACAACTTTTCTGCGTGGTAGGCACCAAAACTAGGCACAGTCCACTCCACAAGTTGGACCAACTCTAGTGGCAAGATCTACCCCTTCCTAGTCAGCGTGTCTTAGTTATACACACATGGTCTATATTAAGATCTTGGCCACCAACTTCATGTTCACATTCCACTAATTACATTAAGAAACTTTAACCATGTAGCTAAATCAAAGCACTCTGCTGGAACAAACCAAATATTTTACACAAATTGCACTAGTCTGTCAACCACATCTAAAAACTCATGTAAAGATTATCTATCAAAACGTATTCTCCATAAAAATATGTTAACTAGTACGTTGTCTATAAATTTGCTATTAATCAGATCCTTGACTGATTTAGACTGATGTTAAGCCGACTGGCTTATAATTATGCAGTTTATCTACTTTTTCTATGTGTTAGCACAAATTCAGCTTTCTTCCAATTGTCTGTAACTTTCCAGCATTCTGTGAACATGGCACATATTCACCTAATTCTTTTAAAAATCATTTAACCAGGTTATCTGTACTTGCTGATCTTGATTTTAGTAGCTGCTTTTGGACACCCTTTTGTATTACTGTCAGAATGAGAAGCAAGCCATCAAACTGACCAAATTTTTCAAGTGAGAGAACATCTTTAGAGTTGAGTGCAAGATAGGGGAAGAGTCTAAGAAAAAAAAAATCATATAAATTAAAGGGTTAGGATTAGCCGCTTTTGTATTGATTTTACAGTATGGCATTCGAACTGATAATTAACTTGCATGATTTATTAAGTAAATGCAGTTATACAACTTTCTAAGAGACAAAAACAAGCACTCTGTGATAGTATTTAAAAAAAAAAAACCCAAACCTCACACTTCAGTCATCTGCCTATTAAGATATTCCCCTACTACCAGTGCCTGTGAGCTCAATTCCAGTGGTTACACAGACAAATGCAAGTAAATAAATATTCTTAAAAAAAAAAATAAATCAATCTTAATTACATAAGCAACATTAACTGCTCAGTAGAGATTTATGAAAACCAAATAACTGCCTATAAGCATTGCATCCATTCAATTACACAACCTAGTAAAAAATGTGGGGGAGGTGGCACAAAAAAGTACAAATATTTCTTCAAAGGAATGGTACCTTTTGATCTTCAGTCTCTTGTTCTTTCAACAGTCGTTCAAGGTCAGCCATATCATTATGCTTAAATAACTTGATATTACTACGAGATGCTTGTAATCCTTTCTGAATAGCAAAGCAGGCAGCTTCATCTCTGTAAACACAGCAAACCCTTCTAAGTTTGCACTGGGTTTAAAAATTATTCAAAGAAAGCTGGCTATTAGGACTGTCTTGCTTTTGAGCAGGTATCTGTACTTAGGTGTAGTTAAAACCAGATTTATTAAAGCATCATATATTTTATTTACATTTTGAAAACTCATTTCCAAAGCTTCTCAACTTTCCTATGCATTATAGCCAATAAAAAAAAGCCAACAGGATTTTTCTTGAAGTGTACACTGGTGGTTTTGTTTGTATGTGACACCAGTTTATTTGAGCACAGCATTCCATGGACCAGGTACAACACCATGGTAATCATCCCAGAAATCTCTCACTCCATTTGCTCTGGGTCTTAGAAAAAAGGCACAAAGATGTGCCTGTAACAGTTATAGTGGTCCTCCAAGTATTCAAAATCTGCTTTTTAATACCCTTTGGGAATTACTATCTCAGTGTTCAAAGAACTACCTGCCATTTTTAAGTGTTGGAAAAGCAAACCTCTGAGCACGATAGGGTATGCAATTTCAAAGGTGCCTAAGTTGAATAATTTTTTAAAAGTGGGAACTAAATCAAACATTCTGTACATGCTAAATGCAGTAATTTCAACCAAGCTACTTTGAAATATGGCGAGATCTTTTGTCAGTGAGAAGCTGAAACAGTACAAGATAGCTAAATCCAGGATACACTCGCATCTTGAATAGCGTGCATGATCCTGGTCCATTCGTCTCAAAAAAGCTGATCCAGAAAATGTTCAAAGATGACCAAAAACTAGGATCAAAGTTATGAAAGAACTTCTGTAAAATAAGTCAAATCAGCTGCAAGCCTTAGACTTAGATAAGAGAGCACTGAAGAAAGATTTTGGCAGACAAATACAAAAGTATCAGTGTGCTGTGACTTAACCCTAGCAGGCAGCTAAGCCCCACATAGCCACTCACTCCCCCCATGGAGAAGATGCATCAGTTCACTCTCTAAAATCAAATGCATCAACTGAAATAAGTAGGCGTTATATCCAAAACAGGTATTTGTTCATATTTTTTCATAAAATGTTCAAGCTAAACTGTGAAATTACATGTCATAAAAGCATTGTGGTTATTAAAAGATTTACAAAAGTACTAAAAGAATAGGAACGTTTAAGAAAAACCCGTCAGCTACTACTAAATCCAAACCCTTCTCTTTGGCTCAGTAAGTTTTGAATATTGTTACATTGTTTCTCCTGGTGTTTTACTCTTCCCTAGACAAACTGTCACTGGTTACCCTCAGGGACCAGATACCAGGCTTGCAGAACCCTTAGTTTGACCCTGCATAGCTGTTCTTGTGTTATTTTAATATGCAGCAATATTTATCCAACTAATCCATTGCAAATACACATGCGGGAACAACTGTCCTGCAAGAAAGGTGAAAAGCCAGCAGTAAACAGGAGAAAAACAAATATGACTGTACAGTTTCTTCAGAAGAAAACTAGGTATTAGACTTCTGTTAGTTCTTGCATGCACAAGTTTGGTTTGTTTTTTTTTTTTTTCAGCTGAGTGTCCAAGTCCGCTCTTTCATGATAAAAGCAGTAACTGATTTGATTTCGAGTATTTGGCAAAGAAAAGATATTTTAGCTTTGTACAACAAAATACTTGATCAAAATTAGCATTATTTTCTGAATGGTTAACTTAACATGATTAACAGTAATGAAAAAGAAAAATTGAAAAGAAAACTCTTTAATCTGGCATTTGTCAATACTTACACAAACACAATGTCCCCTCTTTTTGAATATGCAGGAATAGCACTGGCAATTGTTGCAAATCCATATGAGTATATAATAGCTTCCTCTGTCCTCATGAATTTTGCTAGTCGTTCTTCTAATTCTAAGTGCACATCTATTTGAGAGAAAAAATGAAAAATTTTAGACCTATCAGAAAGACTATAATTGCTTTTAGCAATCATCTAATTGAAGCAAACAATGTTTATTTGTAGGAAGAGTGTTACAACAAATAACTTCCCAAAAAACAGCTGCAACCAATCCAGCCTTACTTAAACTGACAAGTAACCCAATATTAATCAGAAGCTTTGATAGATCTGAAAATATTTATGTAATGTCATTCTTATGTTCTTATGCAAGGGTAATTAAAATCTACTTGCAATTAGACCACAAGTAAATGATGCAGCACTCATGGACTGTGACTAGGGAACACAGTTACTATAGTCAGACAACAAATAGCTATGTAATTTATAGCCATTAATGAGGACCTGTTGGCAGACTGTCAGTTCTTCCAAGCTGATGCTTCCACTGCATATAGCATAGCTATCATTATAACAGAAAACTGTTCTTGTCAGGCTGCAATCACATACCATCTCCTGAACGCACTTCAGCCAATTGAAAAGGTCACCATCTCAATGCCAGAGATTACTCACCCTTAAGATAAATTGACACAATTACACACACAAGCATTTCCCAAACCAATTCGGTCAAAGTGACCCACGTTAGAAACAAAACACCACTAAATCAAAAGATTAAGAAGGGTAGTACCACATGGTGAGTAGATTGTTGTTGCAGAAAGATGACCGCAGTGTTAAGTATTCTGCCTAAGCAAAATAACCTGTATCAGACAAACTGCTGTTTTGGTAGTGTAACTCTCTTGCCACTACCTGCTTCTGCTAGCAAATGTTAGTCAGAGAATTATGCCTTTTATCAACTGGAAATAAACAAGATTAAAGGCCAAATAGAGGTCCTTAGTGTGCGACCTGAAAGATCACCATTGGCCAAACATTACCTCGCAATTATTGAAAGTTCCTCGAAACTAAAATCAAATGAATCAACATCAGTTAAAAATACAGATTCTTCAATAGCGTATGAGGCACAGTTATGTCAATGTTGTTACTTCCAGCTAGGTACTGACAGCAAGGGTGTAGGAAGAAAGGGCTTTGTAAATATCTTAGCTTTGTCATAATTAACAAATATCTAGCATAACCTTTCCCCAAAAGGGCACATCCACCTGACCGATATATTTACACAACAAAGGCAAAAGGCATGTCTTCAAACAACAGCCTCCCAATCACAGTCAAGAGCAATTTTATCCATAGACTGCAAACTATAAATCTTCAATAATCGTAATGTTTACCTGAGCATCAAAAAATGGAATGGAAAGGAATTCTTTTATTTGGTTTTCCACTGGTTTGAAATGGAAACAAAAAATGTAATCACTTATTATTGGAAAATTTTCTTTTGCTACCTATCACTTTGATCCAGCTGTATTAGGTACACCAAACATTCGGAGAAACCTAGAACAGACTTAGACTTCCTTCTCCAAAGTCTTTGAAAGGAAGGATACTGATACTGATTGGAGTTATCTAATCTACGTTCTGATAGAGATTTTAAGTAGTCCTTTTTCAGAATCTTTGTATCTTTTTCTTTATTGTTACATGGACTTCAGGACCAATGAAACAATCTCCGGTCCAGCTTCAAAACAGGATGATGAACTCTGATTCAATTATTGAACAAAAGCCCAGGAAAGATCTTTCTCTGGCAGCAAGCAACAAAAAAGAGACTGGCCACATGGCAGTTAAGACATGCAATACAAACAACATTCAGCCAAAAGTGTTCCTTCTTGAAGCCCTGCCAGCAGAGAATAACAAATTAGGGCAAACAAGGGCTGATCTATTACTTTGAGGGCCCAGCTATTGAGACCTAATGGGGAAAAATGTTTTGAATGTAAAAGGCCACCCACATCCTTTAACAGAAAAAGTAGAAAAGATGACGAGATAATCAGTTAAAAACGGAAACTTGCATGCTTCTCACTGAGCTTTACTCAGGCAACAACCATCTCTACACTGAGCAAGGGCTAGGTAAAAACAGTGGATGAAAGACATACTGTCAGCAATAATGAGCTGACGAATATAATCAGATTTGTGTTAAGGAAAAAAAATTTTAGAAGCCTTGTAAATTTTGTCAAGGGCAAGAACATTTAAGTTCAGAGTGACATACAGCATATACAATTTGATACATCATTACATAAGGGAATGAATGCTTTGTACAATTGTGAGATGGAAAAGCTTAAGATAGTATTAAGGCTTCACTACCATTCCACTAGGATGAAAACAGAATACTATCTGATTCTCCTATTCTTCATTGCAATGATTTGCTTTAGTCTGCTTACATCACTTGGATTAGCCTAGCTTCAGTGAGCTGTGAATACTACCTAGAGCACATTTGCACAGAGGAAGATATGATTGGAACAGCTTTCTACATAATTATGAAACCTTAATAACGCTATTACTGTCAACAACTGCTATGAAGTGCCAGTTTAGTGCCCAGCATGTGCTCGCATGCAAGTCAAAAGCAGAACTGAGACCAAATCCCACATCATCTTTTAAATATTTTATCAGGTAGCTAGTCCTGATCTTCCCAGTAGTACTGAAATTGTGGCTGCTAGGCAATCCACAATAGCCTTAAACCCACCACCACCACCAAAAAGTGATACACCCCTCAGCTGTCATTATGGAGAAAATAACTGTCAAGATTCAGTTATGGATGAATATACTAGAATTTCAAGCTTATCATAGGATAAAGGCATGGATGCAGTTTTCAGGGATACAGCACAAAGCAAAAATGTCTTCATAGGGACTCAGCAAATCTAGGAAATCCCTTCAAGCAGGCAGAGATATGAAGAATCAAGTCTCCATTCAAAATAAATTATAACATGATATCTACATTTAGAAATAAAGAGATCTCTAATATTGATAGGAAACATCAGCCCCTAAGAAGGGATAACTCTGAGTGACAAAAAATGACAAACATCAATTAAATCCTATATAGTTAACTAAGAGGAAATCACAGTTCTGGACACAAAATGACTCATCTACCGAAGTCATAGCACATGAAAAATTGTGTGAAAAGTTTGAGGCATACAATATTACTGATGTAAGGAATGTTTCTTATCAGAGATTCATAATTCTGCAATACTCAGATATTTAAAGTCAAGGGGAAATGGGAAGGCAGTCTGGGATCCAACAAGAACAGCAGCTGTTTCTCTCAAATTTTAAACCAATTCTCAGTTACTTTATTTGTAAAAGATGATATCTCAAACAGATGACTATAACATCATTTCTTCACTAGTGGTGTCATGCGGCAACACCACAGATTATATACCCTGCTTTGTGAAATGAAGCATTTACCCAAAAAATTCAGAAGCCAATGAACAGCGACCAAACTAAATGCAAAAGCTATACACTTTGGATCTTAGGATTAGACCTCCAAAGAGGATAAGAAATAACCCAAAGAATCTCTCACTTACCAGAGAAAATCAACTTTTAACCAGTCTGTTTTGAATAATTACTAGAAAGAAGCAAAGTGAAAGATTTCACAACACATAAAATCAGCCTGGACTCCAAAGGCAGGAGGCATTATTCCACAAGTTTCTTTGAGCTTTTCAGTGGTTTGTTTTTGGTTTTGGGGGGTTTTTTGGGGGGCAGGGGAGGGGCAGGGAGAAGCCTGTATGAATTCCAACAGATCACTGCTGACCAGTGATCAGTGAGGGAATCTAGCCTTCTAAACGCTCTCTACTGATCAATGGGCTACCACCTCCTTTGTCAGAAATTAATTATGGTTCTAGGCTAATGAACAATCTATAAGATTGATATCAAAGACTCAACTTCATTCTGATATATAGACTTCTAACAAATCAAAATAGATACAGCACCTGGCTGATCACTTAAAGGACTAGCTTGATTAATTGAGAAAAGTTCCAGTCTTGACTTCAAGTCAAGGCTACAGGAAGCCAACTCTATGAAATCATTTGAGTACAAACACGCTGTGAATTCCATCACCTCTGGGAAGAGACCGGAAAGTTCACAAGAAGATGAGTCAATGCTTTCAGCTTGCAACCGTGCAGCTATTCATGTATTACTCTTTGGTTTCCATGCACAATTTCAAAATACCAATGCCTGTAAAGCACTGTTTCCAGAGGCTGATATTTAACTTAATACTTCTTAAAAAGAATGAAAAAACCCTTAGTAACACCTGCTTATGTCATAAAATCTCTTTAACTACAACATTAAAGTTATCAGTAAAGGAAAACTTCATTCTGACTACAGCATTAGATAAACTTCACTAAGAATCTTTATCATAGAAATCAGACTGCCCTCTTGTGGTCTACTTAAAAATGTATTATTAATTTACACTTAAATTTGCCATGCATGATTAAATTCTAATATGTTTATTTTCTCTTTCCACTATAGTGACAAGAACTAAAACAGATTATATCTAACTTCGCAACTCTCCTCCAAGACGAGCATCAGAAAGAGTAAGAAAACACGTAAAATTAATAAGAAACAAGCTATGAACTACAAACGCTACCAATCCTTAACAATTACACTAAAAAGTGTGTTAGAGGGTAACTGTTCTTCATAGTGGTGGAAATAATTTGCTGCTTATATATAGGACTATTTTAGCTGACTTACCAAACCAGTCTGAACACCTTTAAAGGCAGATCAAAGAAAGTTACTCACCAAAAGTACCATAGAATCCTCTAGGTCCACAAGTGCCAACACCATATTTCTTCAGAGATGCCTGGGCTGCGCTCTTTAACAGAAAAGAATTACATGAAATATTTATTCCTACATTAGATCTCTAACTCTTCTATACACTTCACACTGACAAGTTTATACCTATGTACACAGGCCAGTTCATGCATCATGTAACATGCCCTGCTATACAGAAAGTATAACACATACTGAATTCCATGAATTAATTTCACATCAAAACTATTTTAGACAAGTTTTTAAGCATCATTCATTGTATTCTCATGACTAAGGACATTAAATACTAATCTAACTTGATAATCAGCTAGTACACAGTAAATACACTAGATTAAACTTCAATAAAAAGATGAACTTAAATAGCACACAATTACAAGGTTTATAATCTTCCTTGCTGCTTTAGAAGTATACTTCCTTGACAAAGTTTGTGGTTTCTGAAGTAATTCTTAATTTCAAGACAACACACAAAGTAAAAGAGGAACAATCACACAAATACAATAACTGGAAGAACTCACCTTAACCTTTTCATTATCCAAAAGTCCAAGAAAGTTAAACGATGCAAAGTTTATACACTCCTTGCCATTAACAGTGATTATATGGGTGGGAGGACTGAAAAAAAAAATTACAGACCTATTGTTATGAATGAACAGTTGCCATTTTCATAAACAGTCAAACAGTACAGGAGTTTTGTTTCTCAATAGTAAAAAGCTTTTTCAAGATTCCTTCCTTCCACTTCTTTTGCAGCTGCCAATCAATATTTAAGTTCAGTGTAAAATCACAAATACACTACCATACTCAGCAAAAACTGTATTCCTCCAGTTTACCAAAGAAACTGTAAATACCTTCCTGAGATATTTAGTTTAATGATTCCTTGTTGAAAACTTAATTCACACAAAGGTGACTCCTGAAAAGATTAATCAAGCTTCTCCTTTAAAAGCAAAGTGATGTCTGTCTGAAATCAGGAATACTATAAATAAAAAGGAAATTTCACTGCTACTTAGTTCTGCGATAAAAATGAATTTAAAACCAATGTTTTTGTCATAAAGCAAACCCACAATACCAATCTTGTACTGAACAGGGCTCCCAAAACATAGGTACTAGCTGTAAACAGACAAAAAAGTATTGTATTATCTGTCATCTCAAGTTTCCAATTCTGTTTAGTCCATAACAGTTTGAATAACTCATGTAGTCAGGAAACACAGAAAGTGTGAAAACACCCAATATTAACAAAGCAACAAGAGCACAATATACATGAAGCAAAGGGCAGAGAAATTTTCTGCCCTAAAAAATTATGATTTAGATAAAGTTATTAAAAAACTGAAGATAAAAATAGCTATTAATGCTTTAAACACAAGCATTGCATCTGTGTGCTGTATTCTAAAAGCAATCCTGTTCTGGCAGTTATACACTTCAATACTACAAAATCAAACGTTTCAGTTAATCACTCAGGGTGTTGAGAAGTCTCAAAGCTAAGCCAAATACAAAACCTTATGTCTGCCCATTTCTGTATGCATTGTCAAATATTAGAGTTGAGATCCTACACTATTCCTCAAACACAATAGTTTCAACAAGCTTTTCCCATGTGGAAACTAGCACTGAGCAATTTTCACAATCAAAATTAAACAGGGCTGCTCAAATGTCAAATGCCCGTGGACAGCTGCTAAAAATCTGGTTGCTGACAATATTTCAATGGGTACAATAGGTGTGCAAAGCAAATAAACTTTAAGTCCAAGCTATTCACTACAAGTTAAGGAAAACACTGAACTGCCTGAACCTCATTTAAAAAACTGCTTGATTTTGGTTTATATCTGTAAATAAAAATTAAGCACATGTTGCTTCAACCAAGCAATTGCAAAGCTTACAAAACAGCTTTTGAAAGCTTTCTACTAACACAGTGCATGTGTCATGCATCTTCATCACTGTCATTTCATGACATTACACTGACACAAGCTGAACCAGACCCCACAAAGGAGCAGTCCTGCATTACTGCAGTGCATCTTCTGCATCGTACTAGCATTATACAAATGTGCTGCAAACTGTCTTGGGGCAATCACTGCCATACCTGGATCTGTTCCCCTGTCTTGCTCATCAATGAGCTGTACCAAATGTTGGAAGTCCTATTAACTGAAACAACTACTTAGGTTCGCAGATATTCACAAGAGCAGACCTATATGTTTTGGCACTAACACATGATTCAGTATATTCCCAGCATACTATCAAACCTGGTAAATTTACAGCAATTTGCCCCCACGGCTCCACTTCTCAAACCTAGAAAATACAATTATGTTCACCAACAACTTGCCCCTAACAAAATTACAGCCCTCATGAAAACATGGCCACACTTTGCTATCAGGATTTTACCCAGACTTCTAAAGGAAGACTCATGGTTAGGCAGAAAACCCTCATGGAAAACTTTATTCCAGTGAACAATTATATCCAAAACACAGATGCTAACAGTACCATAAAACCTTCTTTGCAATGTCAAAAACAAGTCTTTGCAAAAGGAAAACAGTGAAACATTTATTTCTTTACAGTTTCATGTATCTCCCTTCCCCTAGTATAACACAGTTTGTTAGGTATTATGGTTAGGGACAACAGTTATGAGATACTGAGTAATCCAGCTGAAACTGTAAATAAAAATAGAATGTCAAGCCATATTCAAAGAACTTGCAAGTCCTTCAGAATTGTGTCTTTTAGGGACTGAAAGCACTCCATCTGTACTTGGACCTCTCACTTATCTCTTAAGTGCTGCATTTATTGAAATATCACAGAAGATGATAGAGTTAAAAGCCAGATCATTAGTGCCTTTTTATTTTAAAGCAAAATGAGAATCAGCATGAGAATTTTGTAGACATATTGTTTTAGGAAATAGGTTTACATTTTCTGAATGAGATATTGTACAACTAAGCTATCTTGCATAGATTAGTTCACAGAAAGGCTACCACAAGAACTAACTAATTTCTGGACTGTGACTGAGCCATCACGGGCAACTTCTTCACTGCTGATTCAAGATTGGTCACTTCCTTTGTATGGACAAGTCTCTGCATTATTGGCTTTGCTTATCCTTTGGCAATGTTACTGGGATTATGCAAATGTTCAGCAGAAAGGAGCATGCTAACGTAAGGCACAAACTGCCTTGCATATTGAGGAAGGAGGAAGTCTGCCTCCCCCACACAGTGAGTGAAAATTTTTACTGAAATATTTAATACTTCCTAAGTGGTTATGAGCCTATATAAACCCTATCTACACATTACTGCAAATATGCAATATTCAACCACCACATACCAAGATAATTAAGATTTATGTAAATCACCATTTATGGTAGACATTAACACATGAAAATCACTGAAAGAAGACTACTTCATTAGTACCAATAGGGTCCCCCTAAAATACTAATTAAAAAGTGGATAGAAATGCTCTTGAACTGGAATTAGGATGCAGACACTTTCATTTCTGTATTAATTCTGCAACGTGTTTTTTTATACCCCAAGTTACAATCTCATAGCTGTTGAGCAACTTACGGGAAGGTAGTTAGTTGGGAAGACAAATGCCAAGTTTTCCCCATAGCCACTGTGAAGTTTAATAGCCACAACACATTAACATTCTGTCACAATACATTCCCTAGCTGTAAGCACTGGAAAGCTCTAAATAATTTAAACATTTTTTGAATCAATCTAAAAGATATATTTGTTCAGATTTTTTTGAAACATCCAACACTTCCTTTAAGTCCACAGTAGTGCTTGTTTCAAAATTCTGAACAGTAACAGAAGAATGTTAATCAACATCACAGTTGATTAAAATAGGCACCCCTTTTCTAAGGCAGACTTTTCCATGGTGGCAGAACCATCAAAATGGAGCTCCTTATGAAAGCAAATAATTGTGCTCTGTCACTAAATTATTTTAAAGTATTAGTGTCACTAGAAGGATATTAAGAATGCTTATATTGTAAAAGTTACTGAAATGAACAAATCTGAAGCTTCTGAAAGAAATTTCAAAGCAATTTCTGAAATACTGTGACTCTTGCCTAAGTCAGCACTCATTTTAAAAGCCTCGTAACACATAAGAAAGTAATGTTGAGCCATAATTTCCTCACAAAACAACTTTGCCATCAAGCATCTCCACTTCTAGTTGTCCAAAGAGCAACAACTTTTCATGAAATGCCAAGTGGCTAGCCATAAAATCAGTTTATTTTGAAGTGATTTGTGATGACAGTTTCCCCCCAACCCTTACACAGAAGTTGGTAATCACCTTTGGAGGTCTAAGTCGATGTATATAAAAAAATAAAACAAATTACTATCAAACAGTACAGAGCTACAATGAAGGCAAAGATGAACTGTCTCTCCCTCCACCCCCAATATTAAAAAAAAAAAATTAATAACAACGTTTAACGTAAGAAAGATGCTCTTAATAAGATAGTCTTGATATTGTTGCAAAAACAAGACCATCTCTTCAGTGGCAAATTCAGTCATGCTACCTAAAAATGCAATTCATTTACAAAAGGTTTTAAGGATATGGAAATGCTTAGTAAGAAATACACTTAAAATACTTGATGTCCATGTTTTGAGTTGAAATAAAAAACATAATTTATTTTCATTACATTTACCCTGAAACAATGTTGTAGTTGAGAGCTGGGTGATCTTTTGGAACAGGAGGTACAAGAGGCTCTGGCTGCCATTCTTCAATCAACTCTTCTTTTTCCTAGGCAGGAGAAAAGAAACACTGCTCAAAAAGGATTTCCATTAAAAAAGATTATGTGCTAATAAACAGTTGGTAATAGCTGTATGAGAAATTATGTATGCTAACGTAAGTCACCTTTCTGAGACACTCAGAATTGGCATTACCTCAGTATGTTCAATTGAGGGGCTCTAAATTTTTCAGAGAGGAAGAGATGTAAAGAAAGATAACCAGTTGTGCCTGTGCATTAAAGATCTCATGATATAGTAATCAAGAGAAGAGATACTAACTTGGTGTCCGTACCAAATTTTAGTCAATACTGTTTCATTCAATCTATTAATTCTGCAAGTCCTCCTCTACAGTTTATGTAATTGAATACAAATTACATAATAATTGAATATCAATTGCTCCACTTTATATTCTCAAGTCTTCAACAGCGCTGTTTAAACAACTGGGGCATTAAAATACTTCTGAAAGTAACACATATGTGAGCAGGGCACAATGGAGAAAACCTGCCAAATGCTCAAGAAATGGTAACAACTACTAAACCATGTATCTCCCACCTAACCATGGAGGAATACTGAATGCATATTCTTTTTCAAAGTGCTTTAAACTATTTGGGAGAACCTCAGATCATTTTCCAAAGGACATGCAGTGGACCAGCATAACAGGTGCATTAGACTAGATCCACATCAATTAGCAACCATTCAGGCAAATCACCAAAATCATCCTTCATATCACAAAAGCAGAACTTTCCCAGAGGATTATTTAATAGTACAGCAAGATACACCTAATAACATATTTAACACACTAACTTTGAATAGTATGATTACAATGTGTTTTTATTTCTCTATTATTTCAAAAAGCAGCAGAATATTTAAGGCTACTTATTTCAATACCAAAGTATAAATTCTGCAATCGATTTTTGAAAACACCACAGCAATATCTTTTCCCAATTTTATTTTTTCCAAATACACTTTTCAAAGCCTTCAAAGTACAAAAGCAAATGAAAATATGAAACAATCAAAAGGAAAAACTACATGCAACATATGCCTCCTGCATTTTCATCATTTTTCTTTTACTAAGCTAATGAATAACTTTGTTTCTAGGTATTTCCAGAGTACTAATTAATATCCCAGGAGTTCCACAAAGGTCTATCTCAAAACACAAATGGAAATTTCAATAGCCGTGTAATTCAGAAAAGATCCTTTTTATGTAAGCATAGTCACTTCTGTTTCTAATATATTGCAGATGTACTTTAAACACCTTTTTATTTAACTTTCTCATGTTAGATTTCTTACTGAAATTTAACCCACGGGGCATATATTTTAAAGGAAATAAAATGCCATTCATATGTGCAACAGAATTGAATATATTCAATATTTTGAAGTGGCTACACTTATGTTAGAAAACGTGCTTAGTTTCTTTAGCCACCATAGGACAGACCCCAGCTGGAGCCTTGCATGCAGTTGTGTATGCATTGAAATGCTGTTTCACATATTAAGGAAAGCATTAAAGTAGGGGGGCTTATTAATTTACCCTGTACTAGAGCCACTCATGGCATGTCAAATAGCAGATTTGAATACTTCAATTAAAAAAATCCAAACAGATAACTGAGCACCAGAGAATAGAACAATAATATTACTATTGACTACTACTCATTACTGCATTCTATTATCAAACATCATGTTTGACATGACTCAGCAAATACCTCAAGAACCCTATGGGAGAAGATTACCAGATGATACACCCCATAAAGGTTAACATCCAACACAGTACCAAAATGGTGGAAAAGTAGTAGCCAAATTCAGGTTAATCTCAGAGTGGAACCACAACCATATCCCTGTATGCTGAGCTCCATTGATCCGAGACAGAGAGTGGCAATTCCATCCTCATCTCAGAACCAGTACCAGTGCGCATCTCTATACCATACCACTATTTGAAAAAAAAGTATCAAAGACATAAATTAACACTAAGTGTGCTGACCCACAGCACTGCAAGCCAGCAGTGGCTACAGCACAGTCCTCTCCCAGTCACAAATACACTCCTGTTGCTTGTGTTGGCATAGGCAACCAGACAATAACCTTGTCCAGAAAAATGATCCAGATGAAAACTAACTCAGCAAAAGCAGGATGGATGTATAGCTAAACTAGATCCTACAACAAACTAGTTCTAACCTAGACTGGCTGATGCTACTGGGAAACCATATCTGGAATTACAGTTGCCCAGTAGTATCTTACACCTTTTCACAAGAGTTCAAAAAAAACTTCTGAAAATCAGAAAGCAGGATGCATGCTCCTGCAGCTTTCACTCTGCTCCTACAACAGTTGGTGTTGAAAGGCCCCAAATCCCTTATGTACAGTATAGCTTGCATCAACAGTCTTGTTTTCATTTTAGAGCACAGGGTCAGGGGTTTTTTGGGTTTGGTCGTTGTTTTTTGTTTTAATTAGAAAGCAGAATAAATCAGGTGAGAAGTGGTGCAGCCTGTCAGTTATGGAAGGATAAATAAGAAAAGCATTAGATGACATCAAATGCCTAAAGGGGAAAGACTTAGGAAGCATGGTGTTTCTTCTGTTTAAGACCTGAACACAAATAACATATGAACAGCTTTTATACAACATAGTTCAAAGGCAGAGCAGGCAACATAACATACCTCTTCTTCAAAGAGGGCAGAATTAAAGCTGTGCAAGTCTGATATTTTTGAACTAAAGGTACAAAATATCACCAAGCAGCTTAGCAACTGATACACAGATTCAATTAAAATCTTTTTGTTGTGGAGTCTAGCAGAAAGGAAAAAGTATTTATAGAAGGACACTGTAACTACAATAAATTAGCATAGTACAATTGCAGTTGAGATCTGTGAACATAAAGATAATGAGTAATTCCTAATTACTACTTCTGTCTCCCATTCATACTAAGTTGTAAGAAGTTTCCATTCTTCCCTTTGAAGTGTTTGCAGCACAGAAACTAACAGCATAGGTGACAAGCCACAGATGAGATGTGGCGATATCCTGATTTTTTTATTAGCACAAAATAAAATTTACATGAGAAGACTAATCCTCATTTCAAGCAACACCATTTCACTAATTCTAGCTCACATTCATTCTCCTCCTTCTCCTCACAAGGTATTTTGCTTTTTGATGGGCACAGGAACGTAAACAACAAACAATTGCATCTTCATGTCTTATGTTTCCACATGTACTTAGCACAGGCAGTAGCCTACCGAAAGCTTCTGTCACAGAAGTTCCTTTATTATGGTGGGGGATTGGAGATATTGGTGATTAAAATGAGTACCAATCTCAACCTAAAATGGCCATCTGCGATGCAGATGGGACAGTCCATACCCCTTCCTCCTGCCATTCACCAAATATCTCAGTACACTGTCCTGTCCTGCTGACTTTTCAGGGTAAACATGACCATCTCCCTCTGACCAAAAATACAGAGTAGAAGCAGGCTTTCATACAGTTACCCCTCATTCAGAACAGCACTTATCTTCCACCTCCTAAACAGGCACCAAATTTCAGACCAGTATCAAGAATAAAAATGTAAATTTTGAAACATATAGAGAAAACAGATTTTAATTCACAATTTAACATCCTCAATATACAGTTGATTTGCTTATTTCTCCTCAGTTCACTGTACTGAAAATATCCACTTGAAAAGAATGAACTCAAAACTTTCAATTTCCACTCTCTCAGGCTGTCACGTAAGTGAACTCATCTCTCAGCTCTTCACCTTTCCCTTTTATAATTCCTTTTAATTTATATAGACATAAATGTTAAAAATATAAATATCAATATAGAATTTATGTATTTTATTTTTATGACTAATATACAATACACATGAAAATATAAGATATAAAATGTTTATAGGTATATTTATAAATTATAATATACACACCTACTTATACATTTGTGCATATATATAAATATTTTAAAAATATTTATCTAAATACACACATACACATATATAAATAAAATGGGTTTGGGTGGTTGTATTTAGTTGGTTGTGGTTTTTACTTTCTAAACACTAGATGCCTTGGGTAAGAGAAATACTTGTGTGTAAACATATCCAACCCAAATTTTTTTAAGAAGATGCCTTGCTGACCCTTATTTTTAAGAAAAGGTAGCAATTATGTTCATGAAGACGGTTCCTAGCTAGCACTAGTGTTTTGAAACAGTGTCATACACACATCTGTGTTGATATCCAAAAGATGAATAATATTTTTTTATTTGCTGGTCCTCAAATAACAGGTCTTTAATTTCACAGTATTTATAGAATCATATATCAGCATGGCATAAATTGGCACAAACAATGGGCATACCAGTTAGAAATTTCTCTCTTTCAAACTATGCTAATATTTAGGAGAATCTTTAACTACATAGGTAGTCTTGGCTCAAAATGACTGAAAACCTTTACAAGAACAGACTTCATCTGCTCTTCCCTGGAGAACAACATCTGATCAATCTCTGAATGCTATTCCTGCAAGAAAGCGTTCTTGTGGTCTACAGTATTTCTCAGCCATGCGTTAAACATTTGTCTCTGACAGGAACTTTCCAGTCTCCTGACTAATATTACTCTAATAAAACTGTTCCCATGCTACTACAGCACTGAAAATTCTAAAACAAAAAAAAACCCAACTATTCCTCCCATCCACAAACGGTAAGACATGTCTCCTACTAGGACTTCAGAGATTTTGAAAGAAAAGCTCAGTATCATTTATTGCAGAGTGAAAGACACATAAATCTGGAGGGCAAGGCTGGAGAGTGGGCTTGTAGCTAAATGATGCCATTCAATCTCCCACAGCACACTTCAGTCCTTAGTGGCACTTTGCTGCTTTTCTATAGATTTTATTTGGGGTGAAAAGCCCCTAAGAATCTATATGTCTAGCACCCTATCTGGCCACAGACTTATCTGTACTTCCCCAAAATCCCAAGCTGTCAGGAACTTACAGTCAAAGAGCAGTACTCCACCTTTTTAGTTAATGATTTGGGAGATCTCATTATTTTGGAACAGAACCAATAGGAATACCTACAAACACTGTTATTAAAGGATGACAGACAGACAGACAGTTGAAAGACGATTCCTGCACTGGATTTCGTAGTACTCTTGCTACACATTTGACTAAACGCAGAAGCCACCTTCAGGGTGGATTTCTTCAGTGTTTTAGAAGTGTGACTCCTAAGTGCACTACGTTGCATAATATATCATCAACCTCTGGTTCCCCAGGACAGACTGGTCCTGACAGATCACATTCTGATGGCTGTGCAATAGTGGTATTTTCTGTAATATTTATTACGCAGAGCCAGCTCTCCTCTGGCAGCATCCCCAACAATAATTCACAAAGAAACTCCAAGTATCATTACATGAGTGGCTGACATAAAGGCAGCCTAAGCTCCACCACCTGAGCAAGCCTATCTCCAGTGCCTGTACCTGAGCAACCCAGTATTTCCTTCTGGTGTGGTAAAGGCTGGAAATCACAGCATGAATCAAACCAGAACAAATCAGAAGGCAAATCAGCAGTCTCCTCGCTGAACAGCAGGCACGTTACTACACACAGCTCAACACACACACAGAAGCCTGGCTGTGTGGGATCCCACACTGTACGAAACAGACTGTACTGCGTCTGGCTGGGATGGTATTAACTTTCTTGATAGCAGCTGGTATAGCGCTCTGTTTGAGATCTGTGACCAAAACAATGTTGATAACACACCAATGTTGTAGCTCGTGCTGGACGGTGTTCGCACAGTGTTCAGGCCTTCTGTATCTCACTCTGCCCCCACAGTGAATAGACTGGGGGATGCACAAGAGGTTGTGAAGGGACACAACCAGGCAGGTGACCCGAAGTAACCAAACAGATATCCCATACCATATAATGTCACACTCAGCAATAAAAGGGAAAAGAAGGGATTCAGGAAAGTTAGCCATCTTTTGCTCTGGAACTGGCTGGCTGTAGTGAGCGATTGCCTTTGCATCGCTTGTCTTGTTTCTCTCTTCTTCCACTTCTCCTTTGCTTATTAAACAATTTTACCTTCACCTACAAGTATTCTTGCTTTTACTCTTCGTTTCCTCTTTCCCTGTCCCACTGGGGGTGGTGGAGAAGGTGAGCGAGGAGCTGTGTGGTGCTTAGCTGCCTACTGGGGTTAATCCACAACATGGACCAGCGTCAACTATCTGTGGATTTTTAGTGAAGATTAAGGTGGGTTTTCTTTCCCCCACAGCTATTCCCCTACACAAAATAAATGAGCTCTTTTCATAGCAATTACTTACATTGTAGAAAAAGAGATGGAATCACTCCACACCTCTGATGTATCAGTCTGCTTAAGTCCTTCAACTGTAGAAGACTTATTCACACTTCCATTTCACCGTTGTATTTATGCTTACTTTCAATAAGCTATCTGTAGACAAGACATTCCCTTCCAAATACAGTTCTTCCTATAGAAAACACTGCTTCCATCTTCAGGGGTCAATGGTAAAACCAATTAGACTAACTTAAATCTCCTTCATCGTCAGCCAACCTGAACATACCATCAGACCAAAGAGCACTCCCCCATACTATTCTTTTTGCCATCAAGATCCAGCTAACAAAGAGCTAGAGTGGCAGATGTCTTCAATATCTCGAGTCAAAGCCTTTGCTGTAAGACAGCTCTTAGCACTCTCTTTTTTTTTTTCTTCTGTGCGTTGCAACTGTGAATCAATGTATCGAGTATCTATACAATGCAATTCTTGATCACTTGGACTTTTTGCTAGTATTCACATTGGATCCACCCCTGAAGCTCAGTAAAGTTTGTATAAATCTCATCGTAAGTATCACAGCAATAATGTATTTGCGTGCTTCTGTTCTTCAAAAAGCCTGCTACTGCTGTCCCACCAGTGAACTTTACTATTGTCATCCTGCAAAAGCAGGACTGTTATTAAGCATGAGCCATTTCTAAATGTTTTTCCCCCTTTTGACCTCCTTCTAAATGCCTGCTTCCACTGAGATGCAGCAGACCAGCTACACTGCCATCTCCCAATTGCTCATTGCCTCCAGTTAAGAAGATACAGAACAATTTTCTTCCCCGCATACCACTGTTCCAGATTTGTCTGAGCACTTTCTTAAACACCTCAGCTTCAGCAAAATGGTCTGTTAGTGAACGAAGGAGGTGACCTGCAACTGGATGATAACATTCAAGATGCACATAGAAATATCTGAGTGTAATCCTTAGTCTGTAAGGAAGAGATAGTTTTCAGCTTTTTCAGGTCACCAGTTATGCAACAGTAGCAAAGAGCCTTTTCCCACCATCTACCGCAGAGGGAATGAATCTTTCAAAAGAAAAAAGTTATCCTCCAAAATATCAGAGATCAAAACCATCTGATGCATAAAAACTCTACTAAATGAACTATCATAGTTTCTGAATGGACAATCAGGGGCTACTTCAAAGCTGCAGCATGTCTTCATAGATGATCTGAACATTCGACGCTTCACCACACTGGACTTCCATTTGCGTTCACTCCTCCTCAGTATTCTTATCAAAAGTAGCAAACTTAAAAAATCCCAGGATCAATTCAAACCCTTCCAAGCACAAAACTGAACTGGCATTTCTTGATTCCCACTCAGCTCACTTTTTGCCTCCAATGTTAAATGCCTCCAATAAATACCTGCTAAAGTGTACCCTAGAATGCTCTAAGCTCATTTAGTAAGTACTCCCCAAAAGAGGACACTGCCTGCAGATTTGCTCGCATTTAGAGCTTTCTGCCTATAGTCCCTGCATCCTGTTCACTGATGCATTACACTGCGCTCACTGAGCCTATACACTTAACAGGTATCCTTAGCGAGAATAAGATCAGGAAGCATGCAAGTGTTTGGTATATATGGGAATGACAAGGTGACACACCCATAAATGTTTCACAAACCTTTCTCAGTACCATGAACAAATTCCAGTGTTTTATCCCATTCATAAAGGGTACCATTCCTCTGAAGTTCTAGCAAACTAAGCCTGTTTGCTATACGGGACTTCAGATCATTCAGAACAACCTCTCACATATACAAGCTGGTTGTCTCATTAAAATACATTGCTACAGTTCATCTTTAACTGAGAAAAATTCCTGCGTCCTTGTTCACCTCACTATTTTCACATTCAGAGAGTGCATCCAATCATGCCTTGAATATATCCAATGGCATCCACTGACATTACGCAGCAAGCCCAATTACAGACCACATCTCAGACAAACTAGTCCAGGGACACCTCCAAAACAAACTCTACTCATTCCTGATAGCCTCCAGCCAGAAGTCAGGGAGAAATTCCAGTCTTCACAATTACAGCCTTTTTTTTTTTTTTTAATTTGAGAGAACTACATTGCAAGAGAAGAAAACTGCTGCTAAACTACAAAGTTTTCTGGAACCCACTTAACACAGATACCACATGTATGGACTGATCATTTTCCTACTTGCTACATTCTTACAGTTCGTTTTGTTTGGTGTTTTCTTTTAGTATAGCTTCCATTTTTAAAAAAGAAGCCATCCATTGAGTAGAGCTAATGCCAGCTTTTCATAGCTTAGCAGTCACAGTCACGTCAGTTCTTTTATATTTCTCAGACTCTCAAACACAGAGCTACTTTAAAAGCACCAACTGAAGCGTTTAAGCAACGAGCAGTTTCTTAGCCCAAAGTAAGCTTACCCTTTGAAATACTAAGAAAAAAACAGCATGATTTGTGATGCAGCAGCAGTTCAACAGCCAAATATATCAATAGCTATAAACTGTTTCTCTAAAGAAAAATATTTTTCCACCATACCTTAGGTGTTAGATCAGATCGCTCTTGAAGCTTGTATGTCTTGGAGAAAAGAAGTCTGATTATCCACAGAATTAGAATTCCTTCCAAAATGAGATGGTAAGCAGGAGCCTGAAAACAAAAGCACAAAAATAAGTCTACACAGAATTCTATTTGAATCGGTGCAACACTACACAACAGTTCTGTCTCTACTAGTACGCTCAGAAAAAAACCAAAGCTGATCATCAGCTGATGTGTATTTCTAAATCAGTAAAAATTATATCAAAGTGGATTGCTTTGCAACTACTACTTGTAGCTGTTAACTTGCATTTGAATGGATTTATTCTGTTGTTAATAAACAAGACACACTCTAAACTGATAAGTGTTTTCAGTTCCACACATGCACATAAATTGAATATTGCGAGTAAAGGCAGGTAAGCTGTATGGCTTGCACCAGTATCTGTGAAGGTAGAAAGCTTTTGCAACAAGCAGAAGCCTCCCGAGAGCTTGAAGGTCTGTGTCATCTATACACACCCACTTCAAACCTACATTCTTACAGCTTATGGTCCACCAGCAGTGACAGCTACTATTATTTATAAAGAAACCTAATCCTGTTCTCATAGCCCATTTTTGTTAGTTTCACAGGCACTTTGAGCAGGTATAACCCAACACAGTCACCAGAAGCAGTTTTGTCCCTGTGTCATTGACTTTCTTGAGTGGACACAATATTTAGGAATATATACAGCAAAGAGTGTTGAACCAAGTTAAAATCAGCCTCTTTGGGTGCTTGGAGGGAGGAAAGTCAGTCTCCTCTGGCAGCACAGCTCATTTAAAATAGATGTGGAGTTACGGCATCAGCATTTGACACCTAGTTTTAATGATGGGTTTAGTTACTCCGTTTCAGAAAGGCTCCTGTCTACACTGTGGATGCCTACTATTTTTAAAAGACCCAATGTGTACACACACCAGTGCACTCGCTCTTCAACTCGGCGGAAGAGCTCCCTCCCACACATGAACGTTTTCTATCGGGATCTGACCGCCCAACAAAGGAAGTGGAACGCACCACACATCCAGAAACTAAACGAATTTGAACACAAGTTTTTAAAACCAGTAAGGAGTCCTACCGCATATCAAACCACGAATAATGAATTTATCGGTTGCAGAGTACTTTTCAGTTCACCAAACCTATTAAGAATACATACGTACACCGTGACATCTAAAGAACACACAGTGTTGTAGCAAAAGAAGTCCACACAAGCTACTTCCCTGTGCTTTTCAGTGCCCACAATTGCTCCGAATTCAGCATACAAGACTGTGCCACCAGCCTGAGTAGCTAAGCGCTTCTACATCTGTACGGCAAACCCTAGCATAAATCCTTAAAAAGTTACCAACCTTTGCCAAAGGAAGGGAGGGAAACAGGCTGTCGATGCAAGAACACCGCCTACCGTCAGGACATCCTTTTTAATATCACGAAACAAAGCCTGGATACAAGCATGCCACGCTGATCCCCTCCCGGAGAGAACGCAAGCACAAACGTCCAAAAGTTGTGCCTTCTTTCGCAAACAACGTTTCTAAGTTACAAACCCCGACCTTACACTCCAAGAACACTGTGACGCTTATCAAGGGCTAATGCCCCGGCACACACCTTAAACGTAGCCTTGTCGACGGAAACGGGGAAAATCGTACGCGCGTGCCCCTAGTCTTCGCCCGCCTACACCCGCGCACCGCTCTCCCAGGGCGGTCTCGCACGGGCGGCACCCATCCGCAGCCGGATCCCGATCCGCGGCGGGCAGGGCCGGGCCGGGCCCCGCACCGCCCCGCCAGCCGCCACCCAGCGAGGCTGGCCGGTTACCCGCCCCGGCGGCAGGTCCGGCTCTGCCTTCCCGCTCCCCGCACCCGAAGCCAGCGGCCCAGGGACGGGGCAACTTCACGCCCGTCACCCAAGCTCCGACAGCCACGGGGGGCGGGGGGGCCGTCCGCCTCGGGGCGAGCGGTGGGAGCCCTTCGCCACACCCGCCCGCTCAACCCCGGCGGCGGGACAGCGCCCCGGGCCCGCGCGGCCCCAGACCGCACCTCGTAGAAGGCCTGCAC